CATACATAGAAGTCATACATAACAGTACATACATAGCAGTCATATATTGCAGTCATACATAGCATCACACTAGCAGACATACATAGCAGTCAATATAGTCATACACAGCATTCATACTAGTATCATACATAGGCAGTCCATCCATAGTCAGTAGCAGTCATACATATCAGTCATATATACATTCATACATAGCAGTCATACATAGCAAGTCATACATGCATCATACATAACAGTCTACATAGCAGCATATATAGGCAGTCATACATATCAGTCATATAACGCAGTCATACCATAGCAGTCATACATAGCAGTCATACAAAGCATTCCATACATAGCAGTCATACATAGCAGTCATACAAAGCATCATATATAGGCATCCATACATCGCAGTCAATAAGCCAGTCATAATATAGCATCAAACAAAGCAGTCCATCATAGCAGTCATAACATAGCAGTCATACATAGCAGTCATAATATCAGTCATACATACAGTCCATACAGACAGTAAAAACCACACAATAACCAAATTTCTGAAAACTCAGCATTGTAATCCTTATAGAGAATAAACTTTGAATTTGAATTTGAATATGTAGAGAAACTAGGATAATCCATACAAGGTCAAGAGATGAGTGTTCTCTTATATACATTGGTATATCTGTCTGTTATGTGGATGAGAACAGTGTAGGTTCCAGGATGAGAGACCTGTTCCAGGAGAGAGACATGTGTATTTTCCAGTGATGAGAGACTGTGTAGGTTCCAGGATGAGAGACTGTTCTGGATGAGAGATGTAGGTTCAGCCCAGGATGAGAGACATGTAGTGTCCAGGATAGAGACAGTGTAGGTTCCAGATGAGACTGTGTTAAGGTTCGCAGGATGAGAACTGTCCCCAGATGATAGACTGTTCCAGGATGAGGACAGTGTAGGTACCAGTATGAAGACTGTCCAGGATGAGAGACAGTTTAGGTTCCAGGCTGAGAGACATGTAGGTTCCCAGGATGAGAGACAGTGTAGGTTCCAGGATGAAGACAGTGTAAAGGTCCAGGATGAGAGACTGTTCCAGGATGAGAGACTGTGTAGGTCCAGGATGGAGACTGTTTTCCAGGATGAGGGAGACAGTGTAAGTTCCAGGATGAGAGACTGTTCCAGGATGAGAGACAGTGTAGGTTCCAGGATGAGAGACAGTGTAGGTTCCAGGATGAGAGAGAGTGAAGGTTTCCAGGGATGGAAGATGTTCCAGGATGAACTGTTCCAGGATGAGAGACAGTGTGAGGTTCCAGGGATGAGAGACGCTCCAGTATTATACTGTTCCAGGATGAGAGACAATGTAGGTTCCAGGATGAGAGACAATGTAGGTTCCAGGATGAGAGACTGTTCCAGGATGAGAGAATGTGTAAGGTTCCAGAATGAGACTGTTCCAGGATGAGAGATAGTGTAAAGGTTCCCAGGATGAAGACAGTTCCAGGATGAGAGACATAGTTCGGTTCCAGATGAGAGACTGTGTAGGTCCAGGATGAGAGGACATGTGTAGGTTCCCGGATGAGAGACTGTAAGGTTCCAGTTGAGAGACTGTGTTGGTTCCAGGATGAAGACTGTTCCAGGATGAGAGACAGTGTAAGGTTCCATGATGAGGACAGTGTAGGGTTCCAGGATGAGAAACAGAGTAGGTTCCAGGATGAGCGACAGTGTAAGGTTTCCAGATTAGAGCGTGTACCAGGATGAACTGTTTCCATGATGAAGACAGTGTAGGTTCCAGGATGAAGACTGCTTCGCAGGATGAGACTTCCAGGATGAGAGACAATGTAGGTTCCAGATGAGAGACTAGTTCCAGGTATGATAAGACTGATGTAGGTTCCAGGATGAGAGACTGTTCCAGGATTAGAGGACAGTGTAGAGTTCCAGGAATGAGAGACTGTTTCATAGGAGAGAGACAGTGTAGGTTCAGATGAGAGACTGGTGAAGGTTTCCAGGATGAGAGACTGTGTATGATCCAGGATATAGACTGTAGGTTCCTAGGAGAGAGACTGTGTAGGTTCCAGTATGAGAGACAGTGTAGGTTCCAGATGAGAGACTAGTGTAGGTTCCAGATGAGAAACAGTAGGTTTCCAGGATGATGCGACAGTGTAGGTTCCAGGATGAAGACTGTTCCAGGATGAGAGACAGTAAAGGCCTCCAGGCCTGAGGAAGAGAGCAGTAAAGGTTCCAGACCTGAGATGAGAGACAGTAAAGGTTTCCATGACCTGAGGATGAGAGACAGTAAAGGCTCCAGGACCCTGAGGATGAAGACAGTAAAGGCTCCAGGACCTGAGGATGAGAGACAGTAAAGGCTTCAGGACCTGAGGAGAGAGACAGTAAAAAGGCTTCAGACGCTTGAAGTAATGAGAGTCAGTAAGTTCAGGACCTGAGGATGAGAGACAGTACAGGTTCCAGACCTGAGGATGAGAGACAGTAAAGGCTACCAGGACCTGAGGATGAGAGACAGTAAAGGCTTCAGAACTGAGGATGAGAGACAGTAATGGCTTCAGGACCCTGATGATAAGACAGTAAAGGCTCCGGACCTGAGGAGAGAAGACAGTAAAGGCTCAGGACCAGAGAGAAGACAGTAAAGGCTCCAGGACCTGAGGAATGAGAGACAGTAAAGGCTTCAGGACCTGAGGATGAGAGACAGTAATGCTCCAGGACCTAGGATTAGAGACAGAAAGGCTCAGGACTGTGCCGTGACATCAATTAATTGTATGTTTTTATTTTCCTAAGAGTTACATTTCTTTTGTTTACTAATCTTGTTCCATTCCTTATAAAAGTGAATATTCATTTTCCTACGGTGCCGGTGTAACATTTTATAATTTTATGGGCTATCACTCCATGACCTGATTTTATCAAATGCCTTAGTGAATTCTATAGAATATAGAAGTAAGATAAGATAAGATAAGATTTCGTTCGGATTTTTAACCCCGAGGTTATCACCCAAGGATAACCCAAGTATGTTCAGTGGCGTCATCGAGACTGTCCCTAACTTGTTTTTCCCATTGGGGTCGCTTAATCATGTCCCCCAGGATAAATCTTTCAGTGGGTGCACAAAACAATATGAAGTTCAACGATGAAAAAATTTCAATTACTCAGATATGGTAAACACGAGGAAATAAAATCTCATCAGAGTACAAAACAAATTCTGGCCACAAAATAGAGCGAAACACCAACGTCAAAGACCTGGGATGATCATGTCGGAGGATCTCACCTTCAAGGACCATAACATTGTATCAATCGCATCTGCTAGAAAAATACAGAATGGAAAATTTGAGAACCTTCAAAACTAGGGATGCCAAGCCCATGATGACACTCTTCAGGTCACTTGTTCTATCTAGGCTGGAATATTGCTGCACACTAACAGCACCTTTCAAGGCAGGTAAAATTTGCTGACCTAAAAAACCCGTACAGAGAACCTTAGGGGCGCGCATAACGGACATAAAACACCTCAATTACTGGGAGCGCTTGAGGTTCCTGAACCTGTATTCCCTGGAATGCAGGCGGGAGAGATACATGATTATATACACCTCTGAAGGAGGGGTGTTAATGTTGCAGTTTAAAAACTGTAGTGTAAAGCACCCTTCTGGCAAGACAGTGATGGAGTGAATGATGGTGAAAGTTTTTCTTTTTCGGGCCACCCTGCCTTGGTGGGAATCGGCCGGTGTGATAATAAATAAAAAAAAATACACCTGGAAAATCCTAGAGGGACTAGTACCGAAATTGCACACGAAAATCACTCACTACGGAAGCAAAAGACTTGGCAGACGATGCAACATCCCCCCAATGAAAAGCAGGGGTGTCACTAGCACGTTAAAGAGACCATACAATAAGTGTCAGGGGCCCAAGACTGTTCAACTGCCTCCCAGCATACAAAAGGGGGGATTACCAACAGACCCGTGGCAGTCTTAAAGCTGGCACGGGACAAGCCCCCTAAAGTCGGTTCCTGACCAGCCGGGCTGTGGCTCGTACGTTGGTTTTGGGCGTGCAGCCAGCAGTAACACCTGGTTGATCAGACTCTGATCCCCCCAGGAGGCCTGGTCACAGCCCGGGGGCCGCGGGGCCGTGACCCCGGAACTCTCTCCAGGTAAACATCACCAGGAATTCTGATAAAATTTAATATAAATTTGTGGACTGTATATTAAAATTAATAAATAAATTTCATATAACATATATATAACAGAAGGAAAATTTATAAATCATAAAAACTCACCATTAGTCTGGGATTATTGTGTGTCATATACAGAACCCCCCTCAAAATAAATTTATGATGATAATACTGGCCAGAATTACAAACATAATTTAGATAGCTTATCTGAGGTTCCTGGAGTTGTTTTTTGTACATCTGTTTAATGCTCAAGTTATGCAGGACTGCACATCCAACAATTTCGGCTCCTATTTGAGAGGTTTTAAACCCAATATAACCCCTAGAGCGACGAATATTAAGCACATTACATTAAAGTGCCCGTAACATTAAAAAAAACAATGGCGTCTCTCCCCCTTCGTCAGTGCAGGCGCAGAGCCTCCCTGTCGACTCCATTCTCTAAAATACACTTTTAATCAGGTTTATTTACACAGTATAATTTTGGGAAATTATTTTCCACATTACTCACACTGCCATGTTTGAAAAGAATGATAGAAGACCTTCAGTTCTTGGGTTATTCTTGTTCTGCTGTTCCACTCTGGATATATTTTGTCTGGTCTCACTACCTTTGTTATGCAAAAATTCTTTCTATAGTTCCACCTCTTGTTATTTTGCTTTGTAGCTCTTGTTGGTATTTTCTGACTCCTGTGTCCTCCGTTAGCTCTGAATTTCTTCTGTGAAGACCTGTGTGTGTGTGGGGAGGGGAATCTATATTTTGTCTACCTGATGATTTTCTTCCCGATGTAGGTATTTTACATATATGCTGCTATGTATGATAATCTATGTAACTGTATTTGTGTATACCTGAATAAACTTACTTAGCTTTGCTTCCCTGCAGGTGGTGGTTTTCGAGCAGTACACGGCAGCATCTGAGATCGTCTTCAGCGACGTTCCCATCCTCTCCTAAACCTGCAATATTATCTTGCTAATAAATTCATGGAATATCAGACCAGAGTTTATTACTTCACTCCTCGTCAAGGAATCCTGGTTAACTTAGCAGGAAATAGGTTCCTAAGAGTTAGTCGAATCTAGTGGCTGGTATCAAGGACTCTATTGGAAATAAGTCCTCTTGGCTGACTTTTTAAGAGTAATTTACATATATGTTACTAGGTATGATAATTGTTTACCTGGAGTTTACCTGGAGAGAGTTCCGGGGGTCAACGCCCCCGCAGCCCGGTCTGTGACTAGGCCTCATGGTGGATCAGAGCCTGATCAACCAGGCTGTTGCTGCTGGCTGCATGCAATCCAACGTACGAGCCACAGCCCGGCTGGTACAGCCCTGGTACTTATATGTACCAGGTACATATAAGCATGCTTGCTTGAAGTCCAAACCCCTCTCACACAAAACTTCCTTTACCCTCTCCCTCCACCCTTTCCTAAGCCGATCCCTACCCCGCCTTCCCTCCGCTACAGATTTATACACTCTCGATGTCATCCTATTTCGTTCCAACCTCTCTACATATCCAAACCATCTCAATAATCCCTCCTCAGCCCTCTGGATAATAGTTTTGGTAATCCTGCACCTCCTCCTAATTTCCAAACTACAGATTCTCTGCATTATATTCACACCACACATTGCCCTCAGACATGATATCTCCACTGCCTTTGAGGTCCCACTGCTTGGACTTCTTGTGACTCACTTAATATTTGTATAACTAATTATTATTGTGACCGGGTGTGGACATGTCAGAGGCTCATTACTTTGTAATCTGTTCATGATTGTAACCATGTATAGGAGTGTAAATGGTTCATTACCTTTGTAACTTGCCATGATTGTGACCAGATCTACCTGGAGTTCATTACCTTTGTAACTAGTTCATCTATCATAACTTTGTTGCTCTTCCTTGGACCCATTATGTACCTCTGTAATCGTTTGACTACCACCCACAGGATAGGTATGGAGTGACTATCACCCACAGGATGGGTAGGGGGTGCATAATGAAGATATTAAACTAACTCCACTGCCTCCAGCCCTCTCCTTGTTGAAACATTCACCACCCATGCTTCACACCCATACAAGAGCATTAGTATAAATATACTCTCATACATTCCTTTCTTTGTTTTCATGGATAAAGTTCTGTCTCCACAGACTCCTCAGTGCACCATTCACCTTTTTCCCCTCGTCAGTTCTATGATTCACCTCATCTTTCATAAACCCATTTGCTGACACGTCTTCTCTCAAATACCTGAATACATTCACCTCCTCCATACTCTCTCCCTCCACTCTGATATCCAATCTTCTGTTACCTATTTTTTTTTTATCCTCATCGCCTTGCTGTTTCCTATATTCACTTTTAATTTTCTTCTTTTGCATACCCTACCAAACTCATTGACCAACCTATGCAACTTCTGTTCAGAATCTTCCAAAAGCACAGTATCATCAGCAAATAGTACACTAGTAGCAAGTATGGGTATGGGGTGCATAATAAAGATATTAAAATGAAACTGTCCTGCCTACAACAAACACAGCATTTATTTGTTTCCCATGCACATCATGAAGGATATGAGCATGTGACTTCCCAAAACCAGTGTTGCCTTCATCTTCACCCACACACCCCGCCCCCTCCCGGGCAGCGTGGGGGAGGAGGCATTGCCTGGTCCCCCAGGCCACGATGTCAGTGATGGCACATGGTGTGCCGGGTTCACGGGAACTTCCACTGCAGGGAAAGCGTCGTGGAGTTCGACCGCGAGGCAGCTGTCAGGTGTGCCACAGGCAGTGTGCACTCAGTTCCTCAAGCTTCAACATCCGTGCACACGGTGGGTGTCTGGGCACCCGGAGGGCTCTAGGTGGAAACAACCAATAGCCCCTCCCAACAGACAGAGGTGATAGCTGCCGCCCGGTGGCCTGGTGGCTAAAGCTCCCGCTTCACACACGGAGGGCCCGGGTTCGATTCCCGGCGGGTGGAAACATTCGACACGTTTCCTTACACCTGTTGTCCTGTTCACCTAGCAGCAAATAGGTACCTGGGTGTTAGTCGACTGGTGTGGGTCGCATCCTGGGGGACAAGATTAAGGACCCCAATGGAAATAAGTTAGACAGTCCTCGATGACGCACTGACTTTCTTGGGTTATCCTGGGTGGCTAACCCTCCGGGGTTAAAAATCCGAACGAAATCTTATCTTATCTTATCTTACCTTTGCAGAGGAACTGGGATCTTCAATCAAATTGGCGTCCACCAGGACGTTGACATGTCCCCAGTGCAGCTCTCCCTCAGGCTGCTAGCGGAGTCGCTGGCTTCTTCGACCTCTTGGGGAGAGTCGATGATGCCCTGCAAGCAGCAGATCCTGGCACAACCTGCTGCTGTTTGCAATGACTGTCTGGCTGCCCTGCCGAGGAGGGACAGGCACCTAGCAACATCTGTTGTTGGGGCATGCATGCATTCCTTAAATGTTTTATAATTGCTCATTACTCTGTAAATTGTTCATGACTGTAACCATGTATTAACGTGTTTATGATTCATTACCTTTGAAACTTGTCATGATTGTGACCTAGTTCATTACCTTTGTAATTATTCATGAGTGTGACCAGCTCTACTTGGAGTTCATTACCTTTGTAACTTTGTCATGATTGTGACCAGATCTAGTTCATTACCTTTGTAACTTGTTCAGCTATCAAAACTTTGGAGTCCAGTCCCTGGACCAATTATGTACCTCTGTAATCCTTTGACTACCGCCCACAGGATGGGTATGGGGTGCATAGTAAAGATTTTAAACAACAAAAATGCCTGGTCCCAATCTGGACACTCTCACCACACCCAACCCTCACACACTGCACAACACTTCCATTATTTACACTGGAACGATGCACTGGAAATGTCCTCGCGCTGCTCTGGAATCTTCCCAAATTGTTATAATCATAGGGGAGGGCTAAACTTGTGGAAAATATATAGTATATTTTCCGAAAATAGTGTATTTGTATGTAAATTAATGAAATATATTGTATTTAATAAAAATTATATTATAAAAAATGGGAAGCTCGGCGCCTGCGCTGTCGAGCAGAGACTCGCCATTGTGTTTTTGAATGAGCCAAGAAAACGTTAGTGAAAATAAGAAGAATTTTCGTCGCTCTAGAGGTTGTATTGGGCTTACACCTCTCAAATAGGAGACGAAATTGTTGCATGTGCATTTCTGCATAATTTGAACATTAAATCGATGTACAGGACTGCTCCAGGAACCTCAGATAAGCTACCTAAATTATGTTTGCAATTCTGGCCAGTATTATCATCATAAATTTAGTTAGAGGGAGGTTTTTGAGTATTATACGCAGTAATCTCCAGACTAATTGGTGAGTGTTATGATTATAAATTTTCCTTCTGTTATATAAATGTGTATATGTAATCATTTATTAATTTTAATATACAGTCCACAAAAATTATAATAATTTTACCAGAATTCCTGGTGTGTATGTACATTTCATTTGCAATTAATATAGGTCTAGAGCAACTTGTGGAGAGATAGATGGTAGGTATCGAAGGGGGACATTTTTGTGACCTAGGTGTCCTAAAAATTCCTACTTGTCTCTGTAACTTTGATAAATAATAATTATCTTTGTTGCCATTTACATGTATGTATGTAATGAGATTCATCCAGGTAAATGTAATTTTCCATAAAACCCATAGGATTTATAGGATGTAGGGGGGGGGATGGGAGGCATTCAGGGTCAATCAGGGAACTGGGCCAGATCCAATTCCCTAGATCAAGGCCCGTCACCAGATCAAGGAACCCCCCTTGAGAGGGGGGGGGATCTTCCAGAACATTCAAAACTGGCCCTATTCAGTCGTAACCTGGTCAGCCTTTGCTATATAACCCTTGTGGTTTTAGCGCTCTTCTGATTATAATAAAATAATGGTCATCCTCTTTAATCACAAGTTATCCTAAAAAACCCCGCAGCTAGCCCACAGTTCCACCAGCGAAAGGGTCAGTTCTGTGGCAATTCCGTGTAGCACCTCCCGGATACCTCTGTTACCACGACGGTAACCATAGCAGTGGTCAGGCTTCACAGAGGGCCCCTGACAGCAACAGTAAAGCCCCACTAATAGCCCCTGGACAGCAGTAATGACAGCAGGGAGTTTGTGTGTGGCTGGGGAGCACAGTTCATCAACATTACTGTCACCTTCCCGTCAACAAGGTTAAGTTCCGTAGGTAAGTTTCACCTTCATTAAGTTTATTTTGGGTATACACAAGTACAGTTACAATGATCACATACATAGCAGTCATATATAGCAGTCATACATTTGCAGTCATTATAGCAGGTCATACATAGCAGTCATATATGCAGTCATACATAGCAGTATATATAGCGTCATACATAGCAGTCTACATAGCAGTCATACATAGCATCATATATAGTCATACATAGCAGTCATACATAGTAGTCATACATAGCAGTCATACATAGTCATAGCAGTCATACATAGCAGTCATATATAGCAGTCATACATAGCAGTCATACATAGCAGTCATACATAGCAGGGCATACATAACAGTCTACATAGCAGTCATTATATGCAGTCATACATAGCAGTCATACATAGCAGTCATACATAGCAGTCATATATAGTCATACATAGCAGTCATACATAGTAGTCATACATAGCAGTCATACATAGTCATAGCAGTCATACATAGCAGTCATATATAGCAGTCATACATAGCAGTCATACATAGCAGTCATACATAGCAGTCATACATAACAGTCATACATAGCAGTCATATATAGCAGTCATACATAGCAGTCATACATAGCAGTCATACATAGCAGTCATATATAGTCATACACAGCAGTCATACATAGTAGTCATACATAGCAGTCATACATAGTCATAGCAGTCATACATTTGGGAGTCAATATATAGCAGTCATACATAGCAGTCATACATAGCAGTCATACACAGGGCATACATAACAGTCATACATAGCGTCATATATAGCAGTCATACATATCAGTC